AAAAAAGTCAAATTCATATGGCCAATATGGCAAATTTATATTAGAATCTGATCATGTTCTGTTCTTCGCATCAAATTACTTTTGAATAACTCCATGGAAGATACCATGCCAAAGAAAACATGAGTGAAATACCTAATATTTAGACTTAAAAGTTGTCAAATATGTTATATGCAATAGATTACTATTGTCCTCATTAGATATTTCCTACTAAGAAACCAGACAATGTTTTAGATGATAAGACACTACTGCCGAGCTAGAAGCACTATAACAGTTGAGATGTAAAAGGAAGCTAACTTAAAGGCAGTCCTAAAGTTCAAAACAATGCTAGGAAAACATATATCTAGAAAACTTATGAGAACAACGCAAACGGTTATTACCGCAATTTACAGAGAAGTTGTGAATAAAACAATACTTTTGTACCAGCGCATGCTGTACCAACTAAAACTGGCGTAAAGAATAATAGAGGAGATCAATCTGGTAAGTTATATGATACAAAAAGGAAGGAATATAGAAATATTTAAACAAAGATATTTGCTTACCAAGTAGGCCAGAATTTTCTGAAGCTCCTCAGAAGGTTCCTTCTCTGGAGAATTTGCATCAACAAGGGTTGGGTAAATCAAAGACCATGGAGAAAGTTTTGCCAGCATGATAAGCAATTTCTCCAACAGCATTCGAACCACTTTATCAGGATGAGAACTTAGACGAGCAAACAGTTGAGTTGCAATATCCTTCAATAATAGAATACAAGATCAGTAATAGAGCATGTTCCTATCTCCAGTCAAGGTTTCAGTAACATTATTTACCTGCCACGGTAGCAACGGAACCTTTGAAAGAGCAGGTTCAAGGATATCCTTTAACTCAAAACCATAGTTGACCAGAATGTGCAGCACATAGAGCATGGCCCTCAAGGTGTAACTTACATACTTATACTCTGGCTCAACATCACTGCTGCATAATTGCCCATCAAAACTTTTTGAAGACGAAAATGAAAGATAATTTAGAAAAGCTTGAGCTGCTTGACCAAAGAGAGAAACCCTTCTCCTTCTTAAACACCACCAAACACCAATCAGATTAGTCACCACGGATGCAACTCTGTCTTCGCCTAAGGTAATGTTAGCAGATACAATACAACTCTGCAACTGCGATGTTATTTCATCAGATAGATTATTGCTACTACAGTCCTCTGTCCCAGGAACCCCAACAGTAGTTTCAATAATATTTATAATTTTCTGCCATAAAGAATTCAATTCATTCTCGCTGTGCATGTATTCAGTAAGAGACCAGTTGCATTCCCCTTCAAATAACTCTTTCTTGTACGACCTTTCTGAAATAAGCTGTCCGATTATTTCTTTAACACGCAACTTCTCTTCATCAGTTAATACAAATCTTTCTGGTTGGATTTCAGAAGTTAGAATGGGAGAAAATGAACAAGAACGAAGAGCTGTCTTTCCATTTGAGGACACAGATGCTACAGCTTGAGTATAACACCAAGAAGCATACAAGATCCACGACTTTCCCATCGTTGGGCAGAGGAGTGTGGATGACTTTCTAGCAGTTCCCACAAGTTCCTCAATAACAAGACTAATTCCTGACTTTGGGACCCGGTTAATATCAGACTGGGTAAGGAGCTCTTTGACTGGAGAGGAGATTTCACTCCTTTTAAAATCGGCTGGCATCTCAAGAACAATTTCCTCCCAGTTTTTACCTAAACTGCCGCCTTGCAACCATTTCGAAAGTTTTAAGCATGCCTTCGCCTTTAAAACATTCTCACGAGAGTCAGATGCTGCATTTGAAGAAGAAACCATGCATGGATGCACAAATGACCAAAGATTTTTCAATGCATCTTCAGGCTTATCTTTTACTTGCATGAGTAGAATGTCCTCGTATTCCACACTGGAGGTGAGATAACAATTAAAACCCTTATCGGAGCTAAGTGTGGCATGGGTTTTGAGGTAGTTGTTGAGACGGGTTGCCAACATCAAGTTCCTCTGCTTGCGTGCTAAAATCACTAAACTCTTACAAAGTTCAAGAGTAACAGGTGAGGCTGGCATAGTTTTCCGACAAACACGCAGAACTTTTAGCCACAAACTGCAATCTTGATGAACTTGGTCACAAGGAAACTGCACGGTTTGGATGTATGTGCTTAATAATGATTCCATGGGTTGGCCCTGGCTGTCTCCAAGATTGCAAGCCTCTCCAAATGCAGAAATGCAGTACAACTGATTGACATGTGGTGCTGCCTCAACCAATCCATCAAGTGGCAGAACAGAGAATGTCTCCTCCAACATTAACTTTGCCTTTTGTAACTCATAGGGCACTTTTTCCACTTTTCCCTCAGCATGAAGAAGCATTGCCTGCAAAAGCATTTGTTCACTCCTTTGTAAAGCCAACTTGGGATCAAGTGTTGGTTCATTGCTGCTTTTAGGGGTCAAATCAAGGTATGACCATGCTGCCTGGAAATCACCCTCATCAAATCGAGCCAAGGCTTGAATTGAATTTATCTCATTTCCAGCAGTGGTCAAAGCACCAGCATAACTCTTTCCAGCGTTCTTAGCACGTACAGTTTGCAACTCCAACAACCAGGATTCAAGAGATTTCCAATCAGAAATAGCCGTATAACTGTCAATAATGCGCGCAATCGCAAATTGCACGCCATCAGAACCCATAGAAGTGAGCGATTCTTCAGTCTGTAACAAATTAATAAAGTGAGCAGCTGCCTTTTCATGCAGCCCTCCTGCCTGATATACAAGCCCGGTAATGAATGAGAAATGTCCCCAGTTCTTTTCATCACTTGGTCCTTGGTTACCATCAGAAAACAAAGAAGAGAATGTCGAGGTAGCCCATTTTTGCAACCCAACCAGTGCATCTGGTTCACGATTCTTACACAGAGCCAGCGCCAAGTTTTGCACGATTCTCAGAATATCTCCAGCATACCTATCTCTAATGTTTTGAAGATTTTCTATCATCTGGATTCTAGACTTATCTGACAGTGCTGAAGCAACAATGTTGCTGATTTCCTGCAACCGTAATGTGCAGTAATGAACAGTAGAATCATGGCACTGGAGAGCCAGTCCAGCATCAATCATTGGCTCACTTATTCTTGAAAACCACTCTTCACAGACCTTCTTATTTGCCTTAAAGAATAAACAGCTCGACTGGGAAGCATGAGGTAAGATTATTGACCCCTCATATGCATTATATACATTTTTCTTCAACGCCTCAACAAATTCAAGTAACAATTTCATGGGCAACAAATGAGCATAAGAGCCAATGATATTTAAGGCTCCGTCGTTTTGATTTGTTTCGAGCTGTAACACATGAGAAACATCAAGAAGCATACGCTCCAAAGCAGCAAAAGTCTGAGTTGGGCCACCAAGGTTAGTTCGAAGACGACTAGTAATGCAAAATCTAGCTGCTTCATGTATAGCCCACCAGGCACCAGCTAGGCGGTTAACTGAGCAAATCCTTTCAAGTATGCCTTCCTCCACTTTGACGTCCCACCATAAACCATTAGAATCAAAAGTTTCTGCTTCCTCTGACTGAGTCGATGGGTGGTGCTTTTTGTTCCGACAGGTATGAATGAGCCGCTCGATCCATGAAGATAAGGGAACTTTCCATCTCTGTGATATATAACTCAAAATAGAAACAAGCTGTTGGGAGTGGAGCTGCTGAGGCAGTTGCTTAAGGGCAAAAACTTGTTTCCAGAGCAAGAAAAATCTATCAGATTCTGCAGGAACTTGAGGCTGGCATGTATTAACTTCTCGACTATCACGAAGACCACAGATATATATTGTTACAGGTAAGACATGAGAAAGCAACTTAAGGTACGTATGTTTTATATCCTTTTCCGGGTCACCAAGTTTTTCAAGGATCACTGCAGCAATAATAGGAAACTGAAAGGGGTGGATCAGTTTTGCTTTCAAGAGCATCTCAAGAACTGTTGCCACAAGTGATCTCACCTCTGGTTCTCTATCTGAAGCAGCACCTAGAAGCGAGAAAAGCATGTCCTGGATTATTCTCCCGCATGCAACAGCTTGACAAGGGTGTGATGGAGCCTTTGAGTTTCTATATGTATTTATAATATTTTCACAAAATTTATCGATCCATCTTAGGGCTTCTACTTTAATTGCCAACGGAGAAGACATATCGAGAGAATTTACAAGGAGTTTCATATACCTCCTCAAGTAACGAAAAACCGATTTGGGGTACAGAGCTCTCTCATTTTCGTCCTCCACATACGTCCCAGATGATATTTCAGGACAATTAAACCCACTTTTTTGTTTTATTGCAGAACACTTGCTCTTAAACTCGATTGCTGCGAGCCTTTCTACTACTCTCAGAAGAGTAACTTGCAGTGTTACACTTTGGATTGGCAAATGAAAGGGATCAAATTTGTCAGTTAAAAAAGCTACCAATTTTTCTGCTCTGCTCATGTACGAAGTGTCAAGCTCTGCTCGTTCAATCAAACTATCACCTCGTGATAGAGAAACACAGCTTAACAGGACTTCCCAATCAAACTTTATCAACACAACTAGCTCAGATTTAGAATAACTTCTACGATCTACTGCCAGTTCGAGTTCATCCCCGTCACCTGAAATCTTTTCAAGCATGTGCTTCAATAACTGAAGCTCTTCGAATAAACAATCAATTGTGTTCTCTACAACATCATTTTTCACATGTTGAAGTAAAAAGATGTAAGTAGCAGCAGTACTTCCAGTCACTAGTTGGTTTGGATGCAAACGCAATTGAGAGATGGGTCCATCAAATTGTAGTATCTTACGGACAGATGATGGCACAAGGCCGAGCTTTTGGAGGGACAAAAGCTGCAAATTAGTTTTAAGAACCCCATGAACCTGGAAGGAAGAAACATTTCCAGTATAAACTAGGTTTGCATTTCCCACTTCTAAGCTTTGAGACAATGTATCAACTGCAATAGGATAGAAAGTGGAAAACCTTTCACTTAAAATTTCTGCCAACAATGTCAAGCACCTCCAAGAATCCTCAATCCATTTTGACCATCCAAATTTTCTTCCTATCATAGACAAGCATCCCAGTAAAACAGGAACCATCTTGGAAAGGGGTTCAGCTATTTGTTGAAGTAAATTTATTTCCAATAAGCCGGATGCTAAGGATTGTAAAACTGTACAAAAGCAAGATAGCAGGGCAAGCAATCTTTTAAATTGCTGAGAAGTACCAGGGCTTCCATCCTGGATTAACACATCCATGTCACCCAAAAACTTTGACAGCAATCCCAAAGAAAATTGCATATTATTCACCCAATGTTTCTGGAATTGTAGGAAACCATCCATAATAACGAGCTTGTCGGGTTCTGTAATATCCGGTACCATTGCCCACCCAAGAAGTAGATCAACAATGTCCATGAAGTGGGGCTGGAAGCATCTAAAAAACTTCAACGAAATCATTGTTAGCACACTAAGAAGTCTTGGGAGTAAACTCATAGAGGTTCTCTCATCCTCAAGAAGTTCTTGGCAAGCTTTAAGAATTGGCAAAGCATATCTCTCCACAGCTCCAACCTCTCCAACATTAAGAAACTCGTGAAGGCTCTCTAAAGCTAGTTCTGAAGTTCCATTGACAAAATTCCTTAGAGATGGCAAAGACCACCCAATAAACCGATCAATCAAACTACCAAGCATAGCATGGTTCTGCCTCCCATTCGCAGTTATCAAGAATGAACACAATAGAGAACAAAGAGCTCCATATGCTGTAGCTGCTGCACGGCGCACTGAATACGACCTATAGCACAAGTTCAAGGCAAACAAACTAATCAGATAAACGTTTTATAAAACAAAATGATAATTGTTTTTATAATTATTGTCATTATTAATATAAATTATAATATTGTATAGTACCTAATCCACGCAGTGACGAAAACCATTACTAATTTGAATGGGATAATGAATAGATACTTTCACCAATCAAAAAATGCAGAAACCGAATGTACATACTTTGGAAATATCCCATAACCATTGCCCATTGGAGACCCTCTCTCAAGTTAATAAACACTAGATGTCAAAAAATCGATAACTCTTTCGGTCTTTCCTCGATGCTAAACAAACTATCTTTGCTTTAGCCTCCTGTATTGCATCAACTTTTTTCGAACTCATGGTAATATTTCAGAAGCTTCTTCCTTAATAATGACAGTTGACCAAGAGACAGAATTCAACAGAACATACAGTGTAAAATCCAGTTTCACAACTGCTGTACATATATCCTCATAGAAAAACTTAAATGCTTCAAGTGCCAATGTCAACTGTGCTTTTATAAATCAAGAGGTGACATCATGTGTCTGGTCATTGTACCGAATTTCCCGTTGAGCATGCAGAATGCTGATGTTCACGCTCAACTACGTCCATCTTATATCGGCAATTACAAAAATCAAGGTATTTCTGATCTTCTTTCTTAAATGTCACATTATTCCTATAATTCTTCTGCCATTTATCAGCTAGAACAAGTATTCGGTCACTCAGCTATATCCATCTTATATTGGCACTTATGATCTTCTAGGTATTTCTGACATTCTTTCTCAAATATTATCTTCTTCCTATAGTTCATCTGTCATGTATCAGCTAGAACAGCTATTTGGTCTGGTTCATATCACATTCATCTACCAGCATAGCCTCTTTGTAACAAGACAACATATATCCTGACGGGAACTACCCGCATACAAGTAATCCAAGCTGCATTCACTTTCAAGACTTGACCAGATAATATGTGCACAATTCATACATACGAAAAATAAATTATAAAATCCGCTACCATAATCCGTCATGAAAATCATAAGAGATTGAGTGATTACTTATCAGTTAGTAGCTGAGAGAAACCCTTTCAAGACTTGACCAGATAATATGTGCACAATTCATACATACGAAAAATAAATTATAAAATCCGCTACCATAATCCGTCATGAAAATCATAAGAGATTGAGTGATTACTTATCAGTTAGTAGCTGAGAGAAACCCTGGGCGAGGTAGGAGGCGGAGTGCGTGACAAGGAGCGAGTTGTGCGGATAGAGTATTGCGCGGTGGAGGGAGTTGATGGCTGCTAGACGCTGCGATTCGTCTTCTTCAGGTGAGGGGGGCACAGAGCCGGCGGAGGAGGAGGCTGAAGAAGAAGAAGTCGCCGGGGCTTTGGAGGAGGCGTCTTTGGGTAGCGCCGCCGTGAGGAGCGCCACGAGCTGCTGCTGCTGGTGTTGGAGGCCTTGCATCGTGCTTCCACCGCATGCCTTTTTTCTCACTCTATCTCTACTCCTTCGGCTCCGCGAGCATCGGGGATAGGGGTTTCAGTGTTGCCGTCGCCGGAGCTGGGGAAACAGGGAAAACTTCGTCGGAGTACTTTCGGGAGAAAATTGAACTTACGGCGGTAGTAACGATTTGTGGCGCCGTTAAATTTTTTGTTTTAGGTGAAAACTTTGCATCCGCTATGATGGCCGCCGATGTACAGCGAAAAACTTTAAAATTATAATTTATCTAACTAATGATGCTTAAATAGTATTTTCAAAGTGTGCCAAACACTCCAATTACAATGGAACTACTAAATAAATTCAAATGATTTCAATTTTTACAATTAAAAAATAAAAATAAAAATTATACTAAATTCAAGTGATTTCAATTTTAAAAATAAACCAAAATAAAAATAAAAATTATACTTGAAAATGAATTTATCACTAGTGATTGGGATTGTCTTGCAAGAATGTTTGTTCGTAAAGTGCTTACAATTTCATAAAATACAATAATTTCATGTCTTCTTTACCGAAGCACATGAGTTATGGAGCTTTGTCGAACTCGAACATAATTGAGAAATTGGGCACGAACAATATGTGATGTGTGAGGTTTTTTTGGGTTTTAAGGATACATAGAATTTTATGTGTCATATTTATAAGACTCCCACCACGTAGATATCAACTACAGTCATTAGTAGCACAATGAATGACCAACAATCGGGTGACGTTAAGATAGTCGTTTCAGATGTGTAGGCACCTGAGCATATCTGATAACAGCCCGCTCGGGAGAGTCAATAAGTCAAGTTCGTTGAATCTAGTGAAAGTTCTCACATGGTGGGTTCAAACTCAATTGAATTTGGGTTCAAACTGAATGCTCATATGTCAACACCGTCTAAGGTCAGCCCACGGCCCAGTTGTCAAAGCTGAAAGGCCGAAATTCAATAGTAGGCAAAAATTTAATTTTGGTCCTTTAAATTGGCCATTGTCTAATTTTGATACACCAACTTTTCCCTCATAAAAAATAGTTCACTATGTTACAATTTTCGTCAATTTTAATACAGTAATTCTGAGGGACTGGATTACGTGATGATGTAGAAAATTGTAATCCTTCCCTGTCAAAGTCCTATCCATCCACGTCGTTTCAATCCTTATCCACGTCATCACGTAATCCGGCCCCTCGGGATTATTGTACTAAAATTGACGAAATTGTAACATAGTGGACTATTTTTTATGTGGGAAAAGTTAATGTACCAAAACTGGACAATGACCAATTACGAGGACAAAAATTGAAGGGTGTTGTTAAATACCGCACCTCTTTAAACTAAATACCGCACTCAAAAAAGACAGTTTTGCCCTTTTCAATTTTAATTTTTTTTTTCTGCTGGCCGGCCGCTAATTGCGGCCACCACTGCTCGGCCGCACCGTTAATTGCGGCTGAAACTCGCGCGGCCACACCGTAATTGTGGCCGCTTCTCGGCCCGCCGGCCCAATTTTTTTTTTATTTTTTTATTTTTTTTAATATTTTAAAAACTATATAATTTTTTAATATTATCAAATATCAAAGAAACCAATTAATAATTATTAAAGCAAGTTGCTACAATATTTATAATCATTCCTTGCCTTTCATTGGACTTTCTCATCCAATGTGAGATAATTGTAAATCAAATGTTTCAGTCTCCCAACCTTTTATAGCCACTTTTGGCCTTTATTATTGTGTTTGTAATCGATGTGGGATTGTCCCATGCCTCTAGCCTTTTATAGTTACTTTTTACATTCTTTTTTGCTTTCAAAATCAATGTGGGACTAAATGATCCCTACTTTAATACACTTTCACTATGTATGTCAAGATGAATATCACATTATCATTAATTAAACTTATTATTATCTTAAATTGATAAATGATTAAATTTAACTAAATGAACATGAAATATGAAAAAACATTATGGTTTTTACATAGTAAAAGAAAATGCACTTATCATCCTACTTTTATTTTTTTTATAAATGATATAATTTATATATGTGTAAATATTTAGAAAAATGTATAATTTATTATTATTATTATTATTAAATATGTTATTTATTAATAAATGTGTTATTTGTAATTAATATATATATATATATATATTAGTGAAATTATAATTAGTATTGTAATATAAGTTGAAAAAAATGTAAAATTTATTAATTAATTAGTTTGTATGATTATATAATCAAAAAATATTATTTTATTAATTAATATATTAATTACATTTTTATATTAAAAAAGTATATATTTTATAATATATTATATATATAATATATTAATTATAACTAATATATTATATTAGTTATAATTATAACTAACATATATACTTAAGTAAGTAACATATTTAATATATAATAATAAATTATATAATTTTTAAATTATTAAAACATATATAAATTATATTTTTTTTATAATCAAATATTTATTTATTATATAAATTATATTAGAATTTAGATATTATGTTATAAATTAGAATTTATTATCTTATAGTTAGACTTTAGAAATTATTATATTATAAATTATATTCATTATGTTATAGAATTTTATTATTATTATGTTAAAACTTAGAAATTATTAGGTTATATAACATAATACTAATTATCTCTAACAAATACTAATGACTAATGTTATTAAAATTGTAGTCCCCCTTTTTTTTAAATCCGCTCATTTTTAACTCGTTAATAAACTTTAAAATACAAAATAATATTCTTAATTAAATTTGAAATTCATAAATAACAAATTGAACGGAAAAAGTCGGATTCTGTTCGAGCAATTCATTGAGTCCGATTAATTTCGTATGATTAGATCGAATTTTATGACAAGATTGTTTGACACTTTTCTCAGAGTTATATGATTTGTGTGAATATTATAGTAGGAAAAGCATTCAAGCTCATGTTTAATTGAAGTATTAGTGACACTTTCCAAATGCTATGCCACATTATAAATAAACAATTCAATAACAATCAACGCATATGTACTTGGTCTAAAGTCAATCACAAACATAAGTTAAAATTAACAATTCAATAACAATCAACGTATATGTACTTGGTCTAAAGTCAATCACAAACATAAGTTAAAATTAACAATTCAATAACAATCAACGTATATGTACTTGGCCATCTAATTTATAACATAATCATTTCTAATCTATAATACAATAATTTCTACCCACTAACAAAATAGTAATAAATTCTAATTCATAAGACAATCAATTCTAATATATAATACAATAATTCCTAACTTCTAACATGATAGTAATAAATTCTAATTTATAAGATAATCAATTCCAATATATAACATAATAATTTAAAGTAATATAATTTTTTCAAACTAGTATCATTTCTAATTTATAATAATATAATTTATACTAATTAAGTAATTATATTAATAAAGTAATTATACTAATATCATTTTTTAACTGTATTTGTTGTTAGTTCATTTTTTTCTATTATAATTAATTATATCTTATACTATTATAATTTATAATAATTAAACTAATTAATAATATAATTTTTTATATACTAATATAATTTATACTAATTATACTTTTTTACATTATAATTAATTATATTTTATACTATCATAATTTATAATAATTATATTAATATAATATATATTATATAATATATTAACTTTATTAATATATATTTATATAAAATATATATTAATATTATTAAATTATACATATTCATATATATGAATGTATAATAATATATATGAAAATATTAATATATATAATTTAATATATATTAATTTAAATTATTAATATATTTTAATTATTAATCAAACTTAATTATTAATTTTTTTCATTTATTATAAAATATATAATAATATATATGAAATTATTTAAATATATTTTTTATATTTCAACATTTTTTAATTAACAAAAATCAAAAACCACAAAAATTTAAAAAAAATACAAATTAATTTATATGTACAAATAGTTAGAAATGCAAATAGGATTTATTATTATTTTGTTAGAGGTCAGAAATTATTGTATTATAGATTAGAATTGATTATGTTATAAATTAGAATTTATTACTATTATGTTAGAAGTTAGAAATTATTATGGTATATATTAGAATATATTACAATTTTCATGTTCATTTAGTTAAATTGAATCATTTATCAGTTTAAGATAATAATAAGTTTAATTAATGATAATGTGATATTCATCTTGACATACATAGTGAAAGTGTGTTAAAGCATGAATCATTTAGTCCCACATTGATTTTGAAAGCAAAAACAAATGCAAAAAGTAGTTATAAAGGTTTGAGACAATCCCACATCGATTACAAACACAATAATAAAGGCCAATAGTTGCTATAAAAGGTTGGGAGAGTGAAAACTTTGATTTGCAATTATCCCACATTGAATGAGAAAGTTCAATGAAAGACAATGAATAGCTATATATGTTGTAGCAACTTTCCTTAATAACTATTAATCGGTTTCTCTAATAATTAATAGTAGTAAAAAAATTATATATTTTTGTAAATATTTAATTTAAAAAAAAAAATTGGCCGGCCGCGTGCGGCTGGCCGAGTTGCGGCCGCAATCAGCATTCGGCCGGTCGAGTTGCAGCCGCAATTAGAGACCGGCCAGTTCAAACAAAAAAAAAATTAAAATGTTGGCTCCAGTCCGGCCGACCCCCGCATGACCGGTCTTGTTGGATAACATTTTTTTTTTGGAATTATTTGGAGTTATTTTTGGAATTTTTCGGTGCTCGATTCAGCCGATAGTTAGGTTAGAAGGTGGGACATTATTTTTTTTAAAAAAAATAAGAATAAAGGGCAAAACTGTCATTTTAGGGTGCAATATTAGTAAAATGGGTGCTGTATTTAGCAATTCAGAAATTGAATTTTTGCCTTCAATAGTACATAGGTTTAGTTGTTAATTCTAAAATTTCTACATCTTACTTTATTATAATAAAAAGAGTTATACTCAGTTCAATGTCGATGTGTTTCACAATTTGAATTTTGATGCTCGTTAAATAAAATAATAGTAATAATAATTCTTTGTTTAAAAAATCAGACAAATTTTATGTAAATTGTGCACAACAATGTTTTAAAAATCAATACATAGGGTTAATGTTTGATATGAAAATAGCCCGGTAACTGCTCGAGCCTCACATTCAAAAGTTATGGTGTCCAGGCCAGCATGATATTTAAAACACTATATATAATACAATTTAATTGGGATAAACGTGTATATAGTCAAAGGAGCCTAACTAGAATTTGTGATTTTACAGTGAAAATCCCAACTACATATAATAGTCAGCAAATTTATTTTAATTAACAAACCATTAATATTACCAAAAAAAATTGAAATACATATAATAACTACGAAATTATCTTCATACCCCTCTGAAAGTGTCAAAGAGAACTTGTGCAACTCCAAGCAAGATGTATAATAAACAAGCAAGTGGAACTCATTTTATATCTATATATATTGAAAAAGAGAGGTAGAAAAATCATTTATGGAAAGTTTAAAAAAATTGGGCAAAAAGGCTTTGACTTCCCATTTGTGGAAAGTCTTTTAAAAATCCGAAAAATAATAGCAATTCTTTAAACACGGCAATTTGAATTTTGATTCACGCCCCTATCTTTAAACATCCAATTGTTACTCCTTATTTTAAGGATCACGCCCCTATCTTTAACAAACCAATTTGAAAAATTTTGATTCCATGTTTAAAAAACCCAAAGAATCGGAAAGTCATTTAAATATCGTGTTTAGTAATTATCCTAACAAATTCATTCCAAAAAATCGGATGAGATAAACATGTATACAAGATCTACATCTTGAAGTTGCTGAAGTAGAATCCTCCACCACCACCGCGCAGCGCCGCATCTCGCCGCCCTCTGCCGACGAACTCACCACCACCGCCATCCTTTGCCGGCGCACTTTCCTACACCGTGTCTTTTCCTTTGTCTCTCTGCACCGACCTCCTCCGAGCCCGCATCTCGAGCAACGCCATTACCTCCTATCCTAACCAGATGTCGTTTCTCTTCAAGTGCCGCAACTAAGGCCGTCTTCTCCAGGTAATTTAAGATCTTTAGCATTCTGTTTGTGATTTTGTTTGTATGGTCTCTGAATAGTTCATCTGACCAAATCTAAATTCTAATCTGCTACTGCTATGGGCAATTGGTTCAATGAGTAAAAAATAAAACTTTTTTGTTTGTTTATTTTTGTTTTTTCTTCATTTCAATTGGGGTTTTGATGTTCGACTGAATCGTGTTCGTCTTCAACTTTTTGAATCATTATTGCAGCATTGCAATTTTATGAGGTTTCCTAATTGTGTTATGCCCAATTTTGAAGATGATTTTGTAACATTCTTTTATATCTAATGAAAATGAAAAATGAAATATTTTAGAATATTCGAAGAATGACACAAGACTATATTTCCTCTTCTTCACTGAGTTCCACAGGCCAGAAGGGATCGAGGCACTATGTTTGGATCTTGAGGTGGATTACACTGATATCAAGATTTTGATTCTTGCTTGGTAAGTGATAATGTGATACAAAAATATGTCACAAGTTAATAGTATCTCAAGAATATATGGTGTAATAATTTCTTATGAACTGAGCCTTCACAAATTTCACATGTTCTAAAGGAAAATGAACGCCCAAAAGCAGGGATATTTTACCCAGGTAAACCCTGTCTTATTTAACGTTTATCAGTTCTTTTATTTTTATTATGTGGAGACTGCATAAGCTCTGGTTTCTCTCCATGTTATCATCTTTTGATCACTAGGATGAGTGGAGAAGAGGCTTGAAAGCTCTTCGAGTTGATAATATTAAAAAATTGAAGAAATCACTGCCAGAATTGAAGAAAGAGGTATTTCCCCTTTGCAAACTTCATTATTTTTATTTATTTTATCATTCTTTTGAATGTGGACTTCACTGTTTTCGATTTGTTGAGGGGAAGGCCTTGAAGTCAGTAGACTTTGAAGATTTCTATTTGTTTGCCTTTCGCTACTGTTAAAAGGTATGTCTGTACATATTGTAAATCTGCATTTCTGAGTAAATGTGTATGCTTCGATTATTTTCTTATCCGGCTGGTTTATTAAAAAAATTCAGAGGAAAAACAGAAATGTTTAGATATTGAGAGCACCTGCATATTGATTGATCTGGTATTAGGGTTTCAATATCCGGCACAAGTTGATTCATTCATCCAATTTCTTAAGGTACGCCAACCAAAACTATATTAAATGATTCAAATCAGCGTATTTTAAGTAGTATAACCTCGGATAACTGTGAATGTCTTTCTTGACATTCTTTTTTTCTTTTTCTTTTTTTTTTTATTGAAAATCTGGGTATCAGATCCAGAGTGACTACAAGGTGATGAATATGGATCAGTGGAAGAATTTTCTCCGGTTTTGTGAAGAGGTTTTCTCATTGCTCTTAATTCCCATTTTACTATCATTTTTTTTTTGTGTGTGAAGTTTTTTTTTTTCAAATAAGTGTCATGTTACTATTGACAGATAAGCTTTCCGGACCTTCGAAATTATGATACATGCGAAGCTTGAACTTTACTTCTCGATAATTTTGTCGACTGGCTTAAAAAGAAGGCAGTATAATTTCAGAAGCTCCATCGTTATTGATAAGGGTATGGATACTTTCTCGAACGGGCATACTTTGAAAATGAGTATAGTTCACAGTCCATCGGTATTTGTGGATTATCAACAAATCATTATACATCAATTCTTTTGGATTTTTCGGAATAAATGAGAATACAAGAAATGGATTGAATTGTCTGTTTTTATCTTCCATCCTCTACTTTTCTTTATTATATTGAATTCGGAAATGATAGTCTGTAATCTTTGTCGTCTAGGATTTGTCTAGCTGACAATTGAATGGTCAATGAATAGGTTTGCCTGATTACTAAGACCGTGTGGCACCTTGTGGCTCGACATCGTGTAAGACTGAAACATTTTTTTTAAGCAGATATTCACCCTTTAATCTTTTGCAATGTGCTGGAAATTCAGAATTCTTTTGGTGTGTTATGTTTCGTGCCTAGCTGAATTTGGAGATTTTGTTGGTTGGTGATTTTTTTTATGGGAAAAAAGGTGTGAATTTGTGCTTAGATTAAAAATAGTACTCTTATAATTATCTCAATTCCCAAATGTGCTGGAAATTCGAAATCTTTTCGTTATTTCTGTTTTGTGGTTAGCTGAATTTGAGGATTTTGTTGGTCTTTGAGTTATTTTTTTTTTAGAAAAAAAGTAGGAAAAAAAGAGTATAATTTTGGAGGTTTTTTCAAGTTAATGGGACAGAAAAATCCTCATTGAGGGATAAAAGGATGAAAGTGTATAATAAATAAGAGGTTTCTAAAATCACAAAGCAAAATTACAGCAGCAAAAGCTCACAATTGTTACAAACAAAAAGAACTCAAAAATGCCCTCTACAAAGGCAAAGGAGGATTCGCAAACATTCGAAATCCCAAAGCCCGATTACATCCACGTTCGGGTCCGTCGCAGTCAGGCCACCAATAGCCACAATTTGACCGAAAGAGTATGATTTTCTTTTTAATTTACATTAATAAAGTATGATTGCCCCAACCCTTTTAGCCATGTCTAACCGTTAGATAGTTCTACACAAGAATATGCGTGTTTTTTTTTTTTTACTTAAGAACTACTCTTGACTTTTGGAAAGTCTGTATTTGTTTTGAATTTGGGAGTAGAGATTTTGTTGCGGTTGTGTCATTAATCTTGAGCTTCTATCGGCAGTTTTTATAATTCTTCCTAAATTTTGTGCTGTTTCGGATCATTTGTCGAGCATTTTTTGTTAATAAGAAAAGGTTTTTGCTAATTGTGTGACCTCATGTAAAAGGTTTTTCTATTTACAATTTATTTACATAATATATATTAATTACATTAATAAATAATATTAACGTACATTAAATATTATATAAAAAAATTAAGAAGAATACTATTTCTATAAGATTTATAAATAATAATAATGAAATTATATGACAAAAATTATATAATAAAATAATAACTAAATATTATGTGGTGTACAAGAATAAGTGAAATTGTTATTTTCCCTTATATCAAAGAATAATAAATATAGTATAATCAAATTCAAATTAGTATAAACGTGTTAGCGGGATAATATATTAATTAATTTACATGCTAGCGCTAACCGTCTCAAGTTTAATGCTTTGGCTAAAAACACAACTCTGATTAAAGACACATACCATATGGTAATGATGCAATTAATATCTATGTCCCGTGGCACCAATCGAATTAGGTTGAAGATATTAGTTTGTAATGACGATGACTTGCCACCAAATCATACCCAAAACGTTGTGTACAAAGAAGTGTTTACTAATTTATGAAGTTTTAAGTTTGTTTGTTTTCATTTTATATGTGTTACATATCTACAAAGTCCATTAAATTTAATGTTAATATTAAAATAAATTCATATAAATATACCATCCTGTGCATCGCACGGGTCAGTACTAGTTTTATAACATGGCTATGTCACAAAAAAAGCCTCAAAATCTGCTGGACAAGATTTATTTTCTTAGTTTGATTTGCATTTCATGAATTTGGTGTAAAGTGTAAACTGTTGATCTTCTGAAAATACCAAATCTGAAGAGTATTGAAGGGTAATCACAAAAGGATTTTGCCTGATTTGCAGAAAGAGAGCATTGTTTTTCATCAAATGTTCACAAAATACTTCCTCAAAAGTGTTGCAAACTATGAAACAAAATCGAACAATTGAGTAGTGAATCTTCAAAAAGTTCATAACAAAAAACAAGAAAATGATGCATATATGGCTAATAGTTATGTTTGAGCTCGTGCTCGTTTAATGCTCCGCTTGTGTTTAATAAACGAGCAATAAGCTCAAGCTCACTCGACTCGTTTAATAAACAAATAATTGTCACATATATAGAGAGAGAAATCAAATTAACCAATTCTACTACATTGAAAGAGAGAATTAAAACAAAAGGAATAATCTTATTCTCTTCTCTCCCAATCCCCCCAAAAAAAGACAATTTTTTTTTCTTAAAAACAAAATATTCAGACAAACTTTCATTCCTCCTCCACGAATGCTTCAAGTCGGAGAAGAACAAACCCAACAGCCACTCCGACAAGAACAAGCCCCGGGATGATGGCGGCGATCCTAAAAATCTCGACCACGGCGCTGCAAGTGGCGGCAAACGCGCCGCCGCCGCCGCCGCCGTTGTTTTTGCCTCTCGGCCTTGTCAGAGAGCTCACAATCTTTGCAAACCACTGTTCATTGGTGCGCGGTAGGCCCAATGTGGTCAATTTGTTATGGGCCTTGAGCCCACTGAAAGAGTTCAGCCCATTGATGTAGTTGATCTTGGTTCTCCTCTGGGTCGATTTGGCCGGGCGGCCCACGACGGCGGCCGCCGCTAGCACGGTGGGTATGGTTGCCGACGATGAGGCTGCCATTGATTAAGTGGATCAAGAAGACCTGTAATTCTTGAAAAAAGAGAAAAAAGGAGTTAGTGATTATAATTTATTGCTCGAAAGTTGATACGAAGTTTTTTTTACATGAATTGTTGTTACCTGTTTTGAGATGGGTTGTCCTTGATCTGATTAGAAAGGATAATGGGAGAAGTGTGTATATGGGAGAAAAGTGGAGTTTGTGGATAAGGTGGTGTGGTATGATTGGTGAACAAAGAAGATGGGATTTTGCAATTTAAGAGTGGCTATAAAAAAGAGCAAGTAATCCTAGGGCATGTTTGGATATAAATATATTCGTTGATTCGTTGTTTTTTTATTAATTATGACTAATTTTAAAATAATGTGATATGGTTGCTGTTAGTAAGATGTGGAATTTATATTAATATAAAATTTAAAATAAAATAATTGAAGTAGTAGAAAGATGATGTAGAGTTAAATAAATATCAATCAATTATCCTCAAATCACATCAATTTTAATCTAATATTCGTCAACTCACATAATTTTAACGATAAATCCCTTCCAATCACCTCTCTTTTCTTTTACATAAAATCATCTTTAATCATGTTGTTGTATGAAATTAACAACTCAAATTAACAAACAGCAAGGTGTGTTTAGCACAACACAAGCATAAATTTGTGTTTTATTGATCGTTTCACGAAAGTACAGGAAGTCGGTTTTCTGTTCATAACCGAGATGTTTTTAGGTTCGTGTACAATACAAAATTTTATATTAAATATTATTTCAATAAAAAATCAAAATCTATCTCAAACTAACTCAACAAACTTTTTTCAAAATTACCCTAGTAAAAAAGAACAATAAAAAAGCACACCCTAAATCAATGATATAATAGTTTTTTGACTCTTTTTCTCTCTCTTTGTTTCCCTTTTTCTCTCTTTGTTTTCCCCCTTTTCTGCTTGCTAGCCTATAATTACCGCCATGAGCTTTCCCCAGCGTGGCGTCGGACCCTCTTAATGGCGGCTGGCCTTGGGCCGCGCGACCTGGTCTTCGAATTTCGCCCCGTTGTATGTCAATTCGTGCCGGCGGAAAAGGATGAAGTCTTGGGTGGTTCTCGACGAATTTATGGTCGCCATTTTGTAGAGGCGGGTCATCAGCTTCTCTGGTGTCGTAAGGGTGGTGATGTTTCTTCGGGGGCGATTGCGACTCTGGCTGTCTAGCGGAGGTGGCGTCGGGGTGGAGGAGGGGCGGGCTTTCTCCCCTTAGACCTCTTTTTTCTGGTGTTTGGACTGAGGGGTGACCGACGTGGGTGGATCTTGACCTGTTGTAGAGGCTGGGTCTGGGTGTTAGTATATGTGTCCTAAAGACAATCAATTTTGGGACAAATGTACTTGATCACATTCATATTATATTTGATGATATTCATGGTTTTGCATTAATTGATGAATTCTTTTGATTGTCTGTAATTTATTAATTAATGGCTCCCTTGAGTAAATATTGTCATTAACAGAGTGGGATGTTAATTGATAGAGTATAACTCTTAAATTACCTCAATGAATGATCATTAAGAAAAGGGATATTAATGATACGTGATAGATTGACATGTGGTCTGCATCACATTCTTTGAGAATATAGTATGTCTCACTACTATGAATAATTGTTATTCGTGATGGATACATGGATACTTTGGAGAGTATTGGTATACCCTACCGATAAACCATTTGTTTATGTGTCTATGGGAGTATCGGTGTGTAGAGTGGTGTAATAGTCCTTTGACTTGAGGTTAATATGCAATTCATAGAATGATTTACTTAGACTTAGTCCAAAGCTTACGCCCTTATGGGTAGATACGGGCTTGTGTTGGGTAAGTCACGATAGACATGGAATTGGTAGTTGAGCCAAGATAGGATTCATTCCTCGAATATAGTTTCGAGAGAACACTCGTTTTCTCTATACTGGGTTGATAAAGTCATTGGCCAATGAACGTGATTATATTTGAAATGGTGTTCAAATATAATTAATTGAAATCAACCAGTGAGATGAGATAAAATGATTAAGCTGTTGGATAGACACACGTTCAAGTCTTAAGCTTAATTGAGTGGGTCGTGAATGAAGGGACCGTATCACTATTGAATTCTACACTAAAGGTTTATTTGCTTTGTCTATGTAATCGTACTTCATATTTTGAGTTCGTCGTTCGACGCAGTCTAGGAGTTTCGTAAGGATCATAAATTAGATTTATGTCAATATATGAAGGCCTATAGGGTCACACAATATGCAATCCATTTTCCGACTAAGAGTGAATCGAGAGTGTTAAATATTCAATTATATTGGAATATTTAATTTTAATAATTAGATTATTTTCTATTAGATAGAAAATATATAATTAAGTTTAATTGGACTTAGACTTAATTAAATCATTAATTGGATTAGGTCCAATTGTCTATTGGGCTATAGGATATCCTAAAGCCCATATAGTTAGGTTTAGCCTAATTATAAATAGGTGGTTATCTCTTTATCAGATGGTTAGATCAGATAATTGAGATACGCCGTAAGAATACAAAAAACTCTCTCTTGCTTTCTGACTGAAGATTCCTAGCGTCTTCACTAGAAAGGATTCACTGCGTTGGATCGTGCACCGGGATCTGGGTTGCGTGGATACCATAGTTGAAGGCAAAGCTTAAACTGTAAGTTCTCGCAGATCTATGATCAAATCGAATAGCTATAGTTGGATCTTCATTGTTGATAAGAAAATTTTAAAATTCTGCTGCATTTGCGATTGATTCGTATG